TTGATTCCTTTTGTTATCCTGCTCCCCTTGTTTTAAGTTCTCTGTGCAAATGGTGTAAGCTTTTGATGAAAAAGACCATCCTTCTCTGTGCACCGCAGGAGAGTCCAAGCAGTGGGTTATTTCAGTCTGATTGCCCTGGAAACTGAGGAAGACTTTTCCTTGGCCACGCCTCCTGGCGTGACCTATCCCCAGAAATTTGAAACAATGTGGCCATGAGGATGCAGCTGAAAAAACGATCGATGAGTAGAATCATGTTGACACGACGGCTTCGTATCCCTGGACAGACCAGGGTGGGTTGGACTCTCCCGCAGTGCACAGAGAAGGACCCTTCAGGTAAGCCCAATGGTCTTTCTCCTGTGCACTGCTTGGAGAGTCCAAGCAGTGGGACATATCCAAGTTAATGTCCATCTGGGCGGGCAGAAGCAGAGTCCCGGGATACGACAGAAGAAGTCACTGCCTGTAGCACCCACCTGCCAAAGGCCGCCTCAGCAGAGGCAAATGTGTCCAGTCTATAATGTTTAACAAGTGGAGACGGTGAAGACCACGGGGCTGCCCTGCAGATTTCCTCGATCGGAGCTTGCGTGGCCCAAGCCGCTGAAGTAACTTCACTGAGCATTGAGTGAGCAGTTATAGGTTGAGGCACCATCCTTGACTGGAGCTCATATGCAGATGCGATGCAGGTCCTGAGCCATCTGCCAACAGTAGAAGACGAAACCTTCTTACCCAAAGATCCGGGCTGGAAAGATATGAAGAGGGCCTCGGACCTCCGGAACTCCGAAATGTGACGGATGTATATCTTCAGAACTCATCGCACGTCAAGCTTATGCCACTTGTGCTCACTCGGATGGGATGGTCGAGGGCAAAAGTTCGCCCAACGAGCCCTATGATACCAGGTGTTGACCTTGGTAAGAAAGGTCGGATCAAGTCATAAAACGACCCTGTCGGAATGGACGACACACAAGTCCTGACGAACTAACAGGGCCGCCAACTCGGATATCTGACGGGTGGAGGTAATGGCTATAAGGAATGACGTTTTCAGAGAGAGATGTCTGAGAGAAGCAGTCTGGAGAGGCTTGAAAGGTGGTGCAGTGAGAGCCTGCAGAACAATTGAAAGCTGCCATGTCGAGTAGCGGTGGACTGTGGGGGGCCGGATGTTAGAGGTGCCCTTGAGAAAGCAGCGCACCCTGGGAATCCTGCTGACTGGTAGGAAAGGGTCACCGGACCAAACAATTGACAAGGCTGCCACCTGGCGATGGAGTGTGGCCAGAGCAAGACCCCTCTCAAGACCCCCTTGCAAAAAGTCCAGCACACTGGCACCATGACCGGGTCGAGCCATAAGTCCTCGCACCACTGGGCGAAGGTACCCCAATTAGAGTCATATATCCTCGTTGTTGAGGGACGCCGAGCAGCTTGGATGGTACTGATAATGCCTTCTGACAGTCCTTCAGCCTTCAGCAGGTCCCCCTCAAGTGCCAGACAGCCAACTGAAGCCACTGGGGCTCCAGATGGACAATGGCCCCTTGGCTGAGGGAGACCTGATCCGGGGGAATCCGCCATGGCGGGGACACCGACAGGCTGACTAAGTTGGCGAACCATGACCTCCGGGGCCAATGGAGCGCCACGAGTAGCACTTCCACCCTCTCCTCTATGATTTTGTGTAGAAGATGTGGAAGAAGGGGTAGAGGGGGAAACGCATAGAGAAGGCCCCGGGGCCAGCTGCAGCGAAGGGCATCGGTTCCCTCCGCTCCCGGAGAGTGGAAGCGGGAAAAGAAGCGGGAAAAGAAACGTGGTAGTTGAGCATTGTCTTTGGTCGCAAAGAGGTCAACTTTTGGAAGTCTGAATCTGCGAGACAGTTGATGGAACAGAGCAGGATCCAGCCACCATTCTGCGGAGTCGATGGTGGTCCTGCTCAGCCGGTCTGCCTGTGTATCGTCCACGCCGGAGATATGGTCAGAGTGGATCGACTCCAGGTGCCACTCCACCCAGAGTCCCAAGGCCTCTGCCTCCGCCATCAGTCTTTTGGACTGGTGCCGCCCTGGCGGTTGATGTGTGCCTTCGTGGCCACATTGTCCGTCATCAATAGGACGTGGTGGTGACGTATGGACCGATGGAAGTGACGAAGGGCCAACCTTGCAGCTCGCAGCTCCAGAAAGTTGATGTTGCAACGCGACTCCGCTGGGGACCACCTGCCCTAGACCACGAGACGTCTCATGTGTGTTCCCCAGCCGGCGAGACTGGCGTCGGTGGTGATGACCAACCGGTCGGGCTCCTTGAATAGGTGTCCCTTGAGGAGTGCGGGAGATGTCCACCACCGGAGGGACCTCTTCACAGTCTGAGGCATAGGAATTAGTCTTGCAGAGTTGCTCCTGCTGCCTCTCTGGTGAGGTAGAAGAAGCCACTGCAGGGCCCAGGGCACAATTGACAGACAGGAGATCATCTTCCCCAACAGTTGGGAGAGGAGGACAATCGGCACCTGCCTTGCCTGAATCACCATGTGGGTCATGGACCTGAGGGCTTCTAACCTGTCTTGGGAGACGAAAACCCTGCAGGACATGGTCTCTATCACTGCCCCCGGATGGTTGATCTTGGTCGTGGGGATAAGGTGACTCTTTTCTAAATTCAGTGAGAACCCGTGGTTTCTGGGGGTCTTCATGGTAATCTGAAGGTCCCGCAAGGCCTGCCGCCTGGACGACGACTGGATGATGATGTCGTCCAGGTAGCATTGGAGCCTTATGGGCCTGCGTCGGAGATGTGCCGCCACTACCGCCAGGACCTTCGTGAAGGTCCTGGGTGCTGAGGAGAGGTCGAATGGGAGGGCCCTGTACTGAAAGTGGCGGCCCGCATAAAAGAAGCGCAGGAACTTCCGGTGCCTGGGGTGAATGGGAACATGGAGGTAAGCCTCCCGCAGATTGATGGAGGTGAGGAGGTCTCCCCGGCGGATCCCAGCCAGGATTGACTGGAGCGACTGCATCTTGAACCTCCGGTAGGCAATGTGCCTGTTGAGGTTCTTGAGGACCAAGTGGCCCTCCACCCCCCCCCCGAGTTCTTTGGGACTAGGAAGACGATGGAGTAAAATCCTCCCCCTTCCTGGTCTGGGGGCACCTGCTCGATGGCATTGATCTCAAGGAGGTGGAGAACCTCCTGGTTCATCTGCTCCCTCTTGATGGGGGCATGAGGGGGTAGGGCATCTGATAAAGTTCCTGGGAGGAGGAGATAGGAATTCCAGGGACAGACCCTCCCAGACTATCTGCAGAACCCAAGCGTCATGAGCTGTCTGGGCCCAATGGGAGGCAAACAGTTGAAGTTGACCCCCAATGGGTGACGAGCTCGGGAAGTCACTTTGATTTCCGGAATGGCCTGTTGGAGGCGCCCCCACGATTACATTTGCAGAAACCAAATTGCTGTCTGCCTCTGTCACGAAAGGAAGACCTGTCCTGAGCCCTCTCTCCCTGCTGCCCTGCTGATCTATTAGGGGGGGGGGTAGAAGGAAGTGGAGGTGAATGGTTCCGAGGGCCAAAAGGACTGCCTCCTCGCATATGGGGTGGACTTGCGGTCCTGCTTTTTAGAGGTTGAAAGAAGGACCTTCCTCTTGTCTTTTGACTCGATGAGGAAGGAGTCCAAGACCTCCCCGAATAATTTAGACCCCTTAAAGGGGGCTGAACCCAATTTCCATTTGTGCTTCTGGTCTGCTTGCCAATGTCGGAGCCAGAGCAAACGGTGAGACGTGACATTCGCAGCTAGAGCCCTAGAGGCGAATTTGGTGGCGTTGAGAACAGCGTCCGCTGCATATTGTGAGGCCGCAATAAGTTTGGTCACGTCCTGATGGAGACATGCGTCTCCTGCGGGAATCTTGTTCAAGATGTCACGCGACCAAATGACGGCGGTCCTACTAAAGAATGAGGCGGAGGAGGAGGCCCTAATGGCCCAGGCTGCCGCCAGACCTTTTCGGCCTTCTTATCCTCCGCCTTGAGACCCTCAGACAGGTCCGCAGGAAAGGAGGCACTAGACATAAGGGCCGTAATAGGCAGATCTATGGCTGGAAGAGCTAAGAGATCCTCCAGGACAGGCTCCATGGTATAAAGTTTCTTGACCACTCCACTGGGAGAGGACAATGTGGCAGGTTGGACCCACTGACGTTGGATGAGATCCAGGNGTTAAAAAAAAAAGCACAACAGTGACAAATGACAAATGTATTAGAATTATGAATGTTTAAAAAAAGAATAATAATAAGAATGTGAATGTATATATAGAGAACAAAAAATAAAAAAAAAATATTAAGAAAGAAAAAGAAAGAAAGATGTGCAAAGATAGTCCAGCTTTAGCCACTTTGGAAATGGGGGGTAGGGAAGGCCCTCAAAGACAACGTAGCTTTAAATCAGTTTGGATATTGCAGAGGGAGGCTTCTGTAGACAGCACAGCTTTTCAAAGTGGCTAAAACTGTCTGTGTTCACAAACATCTCTCCTTCCCCCCTTTCAAGGTGCCTAAAGTTGTGCTGTCTTTGAAAACCTGAGGCTGGGAAGAAGTAAACCCAGAATGGCATGAATTAGGGTTTAAATTCACTTAAGAACCTGCAATTCTCAGTTACTGACCACAATAGGGAAAACAGGGACATCCATCATCAGTTGATGCAGTCACCTAACAACTAGCTGTATTACATTTATAACCACAATGACTTACTGACAGAAATTCTAGTTCCAATTGTGATTGTATGTTGAAGACTACCTGTAGATTTTAAAAAGTCAACCTATTGAATTTCAAGTTCTTAGAAACATTCATAGATACCTACTCTTCTGCTCTAACATTTAAACAACTTTACTATTTTTTGATAATGGGGATGGTACAAAACTTCATTTTGGTTTAATCAATGTTTAAGTACTTAAAAAAATTGTATACTAATATCCGTTGATGCTGAAATAGAAAAAAATAGTAAATGCAGTATGTTAATAAAGCACTAACTTGGTATTTTCTATTTCTCTTTTCAACTTTGTGACTGATAAAGTGGAAGAGAAGCATTCCAGTGACGCCGCTAACATGCTTCCACAGAATATTTTGTCTCAGACAAGTAGACACAATGATAGAGACTACAGACTGCCAAGGACAGAAACTCACAGTAGTTCTACCCCAGTACAACATCCAATCAAAACAGTGGTTCATCCTTCTACTACTCCAAGTTCTGTTCCTCCTAGTCCATTTTCTCTACAGTCAGATCATCAGCCAAAGAAATCATTTGATGCAAACGGGGCATCTTCTTTATCAAAACTGCCTACACCCACTTCTTCCATCCCTTCACAAAAAACAGAGAGAAAAAGCTTGTCAGGTGTGTATTAATCTATTTTGTGTTGAATATTGGGACTGAAACATGTATCCTTAAAATAATAATGTGCTCTGTCTTAATAGGAAACCTAAAGTTTTCTATCAAGTACAACTCTGTACTTCTGTGTGTCCATTTTAGTACACAGTAGTAAATCTCATATGCCCTATTGTTAAATTTATTAATTTCTAGGAATTTCAATATAGAAGTATTCTGTATGAGAAAAAGACTTCTTGGTATTTCTCATTTCTTCAGTGCGCATGTGATGTGATATGATATACTGATCATGTGATAAGTTTCAATCTTCCTCTTTAAGATACATTTTTAAATGTTAAAGAATTTTGTGGCAGGATGGCTAGGAAAAATCCACATGAGTGGATCTCTGTAGATAATGATATTTTGAGTTTGCTATTATGAATTTTATTTTTCCATTGATTTACTGGTCAAATTTTTACAGTTTTAATGTTACTAAAATAATGAAATAGATTTAGGCTGGTATTGGACATATTACAGTTTTCAATTTTTGTCTTTTTTCATCCTCTTTGATTTCAATAAAGGGATAAGAATTATCCCTAATTCTTAACTGTAAGCTTGTGGAAAAGTGCAATAGCTCAGTAATAGATATGCTCTCTGTATATTTTGGAGCCTCATCATTATGGTCACAACTGTGGATGGCCATTAAGTAAGATAGCCTCACTTAACAACTCCCATTCTTTGTTCTCCCAAATGCTTCTATTAAACAAGCATGTGGGTTGTTAAGAAAAGCATGGGATTCCTCATGGGTGGGTGGGAGCTCTCTGAGGCCCAATACTCAGCTGGGACCATAAAGGAGGCAGACAAGCAGCAAAGAGCTTTGCAAAGCCAAAAGCAGCCCAGCAGGGAAGAAGAGCTCTGCTAGCTTATTGCCTAGAGCTATGATTCAAAGCCAGAGAGGCTTCCAACAAGCCTCTTTGCTTGGCCGATGAAGAAGCCATGCTTTTGGGCTGGGCCTCTCTGCCTTGATCTCTTTGGAGACTGCCTCCGAAGAGAAATGTCTGGTTCTTGCTAGCTTTCCAGAAGCCAGCTACTTGCATGTAAATCTTCAGGATAATCTTCCCAAAACATTTTCTTTTTTCAATACCTTCCTTCCCAATATTTTCTTAATAAAGAAAACAGAAAAAAAGCTGGGGAGAACAAACTTGTTGATTTTTCTGTCCTCCTCTTCCCGCCCCCTTCCCCCAATTAGATACAGAAATTAAATATTTTATCTTTACCCTCCAATCTTGATCCCTTTTAATCACCCTGGAAAGTGGGTGACACAATCTGTGAGTTACTTACCTCAATGAGTGACTGCCAGGCTGAAGAGCAGAGGAAAGGAAGCAAGGAATGTCTGGTCAGCTAGAGCTCAACATTTGCAATAAATGCCAACTGAGACAGAGGCTGAGTCCTTGGAAAGCTAGGTCCTTGGGAAGCTTTTTGCTATTTGTCTGACTCCCTTTAGATAAGTCCTAGCTGGGTCCTAAAGGGAGTCAACCAGCAGTGAAAAGCTTTCCAAGGACGCAGCCTCTGCTGAAAAGTAATTTTAAAAAATAAAATTCAGCTGGCTAGAGAAAACACGTGCAGCAAATGGCCTACCGCAGCAGTGGAGTCCTTGAGACCCACCTCCTTCTGTTCCTGCTGGCAGTTTAAAGGAAATGTGCTCTAGCTGATCAGAGAAAAAAAGTTTTTGCTTGCTTCCTTCATTTCCTCTACTCTTCAGCCTGGCATGGTAAGATGTGCAGTAAATTTAGTGAATGAGGTGGTTAAAATGGATCAGGATTGGAGGGCACAGATGGAGAATTTAGTTTCAGGACTTAATGGGGGGAGGGGAAGAGATCAACAATTTTGTTCTCCCCAGCTTTCTTTTCTATTTAGTCCAGAGCTAAATAGATTTAATAGTCTGATTTTGTAGAAAGCAGTATATTCCTGTTTTCAAAGCCAAAAGTATTTTGCTATTACTTTATATCTTTTATATTCATAATTGAGAAATTAGTCTTACATATCATTTTTGTTGTTCTATTTTGAAAACTTGTTTTTAAATGTGTTACATGATTCTAGTTTATGGAAAATCTGTAAATGTGCTGAATTTTCAGGCATTTCTAATGATGATAGTACTTTTATATTAGCATACAAATAGCAAGTTGTTTTCCAATAGATAAAATCTATTGGAAAACAAGGAGTTTAGATTTATAAGCTCTTGAACATATCAAGATACAAAGCAATTGTTAATGATTGGCTTTAATATCTTGCCTTGTTCAGAAGTCATTAATCTTACTTTTATCTTTGTAGCAGGAAACTAGTTAACAAAGCTTTCATTGATAAATGAGTGGGTCTAATAGTAGAAATGAGATGGCTAAATACAGAGGGCTGTTCTTTCATATGTCATGTTTTTGTCTATATCCGTGATGGTGAACCTATGGCACGTGTGCCACAGATGGCACGTGGAGCCATTTGTCAGCATGCGCGTGCTGGCCAGCTGGCTTCGGCCTTCTTTTGAGGCCTTTTTTCCTTGAAGCCTCTGGAGTGCGAAAAACCGGCCCTATGGGCAAACCAGAAATTCGGGAAGACACTTCTGGGTGGCTCGTAGGGCTGGTTTTAGCCCTCCGGAGTGTTCAGAGGCCTTCTGGAGGCTTCCCTGAAGGTTCCGAAGGGCAAAAACTGGCCCTACGAGCAACCTGGAAGTGACTTCCTGAATGTGACTTCCGGTTTGCTTGTAGGGTCATTTTTTGCCATTCGGAGCCTTCAGGGAAGCTTCCTGATTGCTCTGGAGGGCTAAAACCAGCCCTCTGTCCAAACTGGAACTTCCAAACTTCCGGTTTGCCCGTAGGACCGGTTTTTCATGCTCCAGAGGCTTCAGGGAAGCTCCTAAAGCCTCCAGAGGGCCTCTTGGGGGGGGCGTTTTCACCCTTCCCAGGCTCCTATAAAGCCTCTGGAGCTGGGGAGGGTGAAAAAAAGTATGCCAAAAATGGGGGAGAGTGCTGGTCGTGCGTGTATGCGTGCTGCAGTCATGCGCTTAGCATTATGGGTGTGGCATGTCCGTGCATGACCCTCCTGCGCTCCCCCCGCTTTTGGCATGAGCCAAAAAGGTTTGCAATCACTGGTCTATATTATAGTTTATAATGTCAGGTGTTTTGTAGTTAAAGATGTGTACTAGTCAACTACTTACTGATCACTACTATTCTTTGAAGCTCAGTACTAGATAGGCAGTTCGGTGCCCAAAATTGGATATAGTACTTAAAGTGCTCTGACCAATGCAAAACTACATAATTACAAGAATTCCTTGACTTAAAACAGTTTGTTAATAACTATTCAAAGTTATAATGGCACTGAAAAAAGTGACTTATGGCCATTTTTCACACTTATAACCGGTACAGCAACCCTGTGGTCAACATGATCAAAATTTGGATACTTGGTAACTTAACTCATATTTATGACGGTTGCAGTGTTCCGGAGTCCCGAGATCCCCTTTTGCGATCTTCTAACAAGCAAGGTCCATGTGGAAGTCAGATTCACTCAGCAATTGTGATACTAATTTAATAACTGCAGTGATTCCTACCAATTCTGGCAAGAAAGGTCATAAAATGGGGCAAACACTGAGTTTGGAGGAACTCCTATTGACAGTGGGAACGCTCAATAAATGAAACTCTTTTACATGTTTTGTAAAATAATTTAGTTTGAAACCACTGAAATTTACTTATTGAGCCAAAGAAACGTAATGTAATATGTAGCAAGATTTGGTGATCAGAGCTGCAGCTCTAATAGCATTGAAAATGATAAATTTGCCTTGGCCATTCATTAGATTTGATAGTATTGCACAATTAATGTGTGATTGAAATAAGTCCATATGGTTATGGAGAAAATGAAGCAAGTACTGTGAAGTAATTCATCAACCTTAGAAACATGGAAAATAGGTGGCAGACAAAACCTAATGGTCCACCAAATCTTCCCCTTTAGTTTTTTAAAATTTCAATTTATTCATTTTTTAAAATTTATTTTAATTTTTAATTATTGGTGAATGATAGGCTTGTGCTTATCCTAACCATGTTAGGATAGCTACTAATTATTGACCCACTACCTACGCTGGGAGTTGGTTCCAAACTTACTCTGTCTATGTAGTAAAGCAATCTAATTTTAATTCCTATCAGTTTGACATTGTGTCCCTGTGTTCTTGATTTTTATTTAATATTGAAAATACTGCCTTCTAGAATTGTATTCACTTTATATTTAAAGGTTTAAATCATGTTCCCCTTTCCTTTCTGTCCTTCATGCTGTACATATATACAGTTCCTCCAATTTTTGCTGATATGTTTTGAGTCTCGGACCTTGAAAGAAAAACTTCTTTCTGCCCTAGGAGAGAAACATCTTCCTAGGATTGAACTCTTAACTTTCCAAGTGGGAGGCAAGTGTCTACCACTGGGCCACAATACCACCTATCTTAGTGAAACCAAGGGATTTATAAACTTTCAAAAGCCCAAGGGGGCAAAATATTTGCTCATATTTTATCTATTCTAAAAGCTTCAGTACTATCTGATCAAATGGACTAATAAAATGGATTAATATAGATGTTGCTGTTCTTTGATGCTACATTAAAATTAGATTGTTAGTGCTTTCTGCTCTGTAAATTCACTGTCATCCAATGGGTGTTTTATGTTGAACTTCATTCAGCATTATTTTCTTTGGTCAACTACTTTGGGAAATTAAAGTTTGGTCATATGATAATTTTAGAATAATAATTGACAAATTGATAATGTGTCAAACTATTTTATATGCCTTCTCTTCCTGGAGCATTTGTGAGAGAGTAGAAGAGGCACAGATGATGATAAGAGGTCATATTTCGGGGAATGCAACTTTATGTCCTTAAAACCTATCTCGTGATGACATCTTATGAAGGGGTGGGGATTCAATTTCCTGTAACTGATATATGATAGGTAACAGCAGTTTTTTGGGAAAAAGCAACTTTCCCCCCTTCATTTTCAGAATCTTCGGACAAGTCTCTATCCCACACCTGTACAACTCCTTCTACATCATCTGCTTCTGGATTAAATCTACCTTCTGCACCAACTTCATCTGCTTCTACTGTCCCTGTTTCACCTGTTTCGCAATCACCAATTCCTCCATTACTTCAGGATCCTAATCTCCTTCGACAGTTACTGCCTGCTCTTCAAGCCACCTTGCAGCTTAATAATTCTAGCGTAGATATATCCAAAATAAATGAAGGTAGGTTGGTCTTATAATTTTTTAAAAATTATTCAAATGTATTGATTGGGGAATTCTACTTTTATAAGAAGATACAGTAATAAAAATGGAATAAGATTGTTAGAAATTTGTGATCAGTATTTCTGGTTAATTATGCTGTGCTCTATAATACCTGGAAACAAATTTTGAATCTAGTATTTCCAGAGGAATCGTGTGAAAAGGAGCAGAACTTAACGTTGAATTCTACTTTTGATTATCTTATAGAAAACACTTCTTCCTATTCTTTCCCTCTTAAAAACCTAGTGTCTATTTAAAACATTATAAACAGTATTTATATACAGCCATTATTTTACTTCTTACATATGGTGACTATATCTTCAAGATTAGTAACTCTGATAAGTCTGTTGTCTATGAATTATCCAATATTTTTTAAGTCATCAAAGCTAGTAATTTACCACGTAAGCTGATAAATTCAGAAGATTAACAACTACATTGTGCAATTAATGTCCTGCACATTAATTTTGCCTATTTTGCTTGTCCTTCTTTCAGTGTCATTGGATGAACCTAGTTCTAGTTTTTTTAAGAGAAAGCAATTATTCCTATTTATTTTGATCCTTTTCTAATCTAGTACTATTCCAATGAAGAAGAAAAATAAAGAGATCTCAAAAGAAGTCAGCATGGCTGCACAAAGACCTCTGATAAATTGAAAGACAAAAAGACAAGTATAAAAATGGAAGAGGGCACATGACTAAGGTAGAATATCAGCAAATAGCCCAAACCAGCAAATATGAAGTCAGGAAAGCTTAGGCTTAAAAAAGAACTAAGGCTTCCAATAAAGTCAAAAGTAACAAAACAAACAAAAAAAAAACCAAACAAACCCACCCTTCTTTCAATATATAAACAAAGAAAAGTCAAGGAAACAATTGGTCTATGTGGGAGAAGGTAACAAGCAGTAGGGAAACAGCAGAACTACTTAACTAATTTTTTGCATTTGTCTTTCTACAAAAGGAAAAATATGGTTAAACCTATCAAAAAAAAAATCTAAAAAATGCAGATTAAGAATGCAAGTCAAACCAAGAAAATGGTAAGAGAATACCTATCCACTATAGATGTTGAAATCACCAGGACCAGATGGATTACACCCCAAGATTCTGAAAGTATTGGCAGACGTGATCTCAGAACCAATTGACCCTATCTTTCAAAAGATCATGGAGTGCTGGGGAATTACCAGATGCTTAGATCTGGCCCACGGAGCTGCCCTGGAAACAGTGAAGGACTGACCAGTGATGCCTCTGCCAGCAAAAATTGAGTTTGTGTTGTCCTCCTGAGCTCCCTTTTTGCTGGCAGAGGGTTGCAGGAGGCCCTTGCAGCCGACATGTAGCCCTCCCAAGCTCCGTTTTCACTGGCAGAGGATTGCAGGAAGTTGTTGCAGCTGAAAATGGAGCTCTTGAGGGCCCTCTTGAGGGTTGCAGGAAGCCATCACAGCTAAAAACGGAGCCTGGGAGAAAGTTTTATCTGGCAGAGCGCTTAGACCACCACAAGTGTCCACAATACGAGTAACATTGAGCTGTCCACGCCCACCCTGGCCCTCTGAGGTCAAACACAACCCTGATGTGACCCTCAATGAAATTGAGTTTGACACACCTGCTCTAGAAGAAGGACCTTGATAGTCTTGAACACGGGACCCTATCTAACAAAATGAAATTCAGTGGTGAGAAAAGTAAGGTTTTATCTCTAGGCAAGAAAAATCAGATGCACAGTTATAGAATAGGTAGTGTATGACTCAATACTAGTAACTGCAAAGGGGATTTTGGAATCCTAGTGGACAATCATGTACATATGAGCCAGGATTGTACTGCAGTTGCCAAAAAAGCAATGCAATCCTAGGTTGCATTAACAGAGATAGAATCAAAACCACATGAAGTGTTAATATCACTACAATGCCTTGGTAAGACCACACTCGGAATATTGCGTCCAGTTTTGGTTGCTATAATATAAAAAAGATGTTAAGATACTAAAAAAGTGCAGAGAAGAACAATAAAGATGATTAGGGGACTGGAACCTAAAACATGAAGAACAGTTGCTGAAATTTGTTATGTCTAGTCTAGTGAAAAGAAAGACAGGATAACATGATAGCAGTGTTCCAATCTTTCAGAAAGAGGGAAAACAACTTTGTTTATACAATTGCTAAGTTTTATCATAAATGTATAAAATAGCTTTAACTTACTTTGGTTTAGGGAACAATACTTTCATAATCTTTATTTGTATTAGTTCTTACAGCTGCTGTGACACAAGCTTCTCTGCAGTCAATTCTTCATAAAATTCTCACTGCCGGACCATCTTTTAATATAAGTTCCTTGATTACTCAAGCAACACAGCTTTCTACACAAGGTAATTTGAACGCTTCTTGTTGCTATCTTTGTGAAGTTGTCTGTATTGCATGTGAGCTTGACCGATGAACAATAATTGCCAAAATAATGAAAAGTTATTTTCTAGAGAAGCGCTGTTTATATCTAAGTTTATCTGATGTAAATTCTGGGAAGTGATTAATGCTCTTATAGCATCCAGAATAAGTATATTCAGTAATGGAAAGAAAGTGTAAAATTTTATGCAATAATTTTATCTAATGATTGCCCCGCTGATTATCCACTGACAACTAAATTACCATTTTCCAAATTGTTTGGCTTGATTTGCATTTGTAATTATATTATTTATTACATTTTAACATTTTGTTTTGTTTCATATAGTATTTTGACAGGGAATACTTAAAACTGGAGCAGACAGTCAGTTTGATGTAAAGGCTGAGGCTAGAAACCAGGATATTGTGAATTCTGATTCTGCCTTATGCACAAAGCCAACTTGGTAATTTTGAACTAGTCAAATGTTCTCAGCCCAGAAAGAAAGTAGTGGCAAATCACTTCCAAAAATGTTGTCAATAAAACTTCATGGACTTTGCAAACAGTTTGCAAAAATCAAGACTGATTCAAAGGCGCACATAAATCTTTTTTTTAAAGATTAGATTTCTGCTTTGTACTAAAGTATTTTGAATTTCATGTAACGTCCTATTAATCTTGTTGAATGATTAACAATTAGGGGTAAAATAAATTCAAAGAACAGAGTGCCCTGGTTTCTTTTAAATGTCTCATACTTTGTGCCCCATGCAGCTTTAGAGTACTAGATATTTCAAATTAACATTACCAATTGCAAGATAATTTCTAGAGAAGACGTATTCTGTGTACTTTATTCACAAATAAGCAAATTTTTTATAATTTAAGATAGGAATAAGAATATTAGACTTTAAAGTTGGACTTAGTACAGCATGGAAACAAAATTAATCTTCATGCAATTTTCCAGTTATTTGTTATACCCTTTTCAACCACAAATAAAATGTACTCTGGAAACAGGTTTATTTAACTGGACTATTCCAATTTCTTTAAAATTTCTAAATGTTAATTGGAGTCTACGGGCTACTCGCTTCTGCTTTTGTTAGTCTCAATTCATAATTTCTGAAGTTCTGCCTGTTGTTTTAAAAGTACCAGATTTTTTTCTAAGAAGGAGCAGGTTGGTAATCACTGTGTATCCAACAGCCACCCCCTGCTTGTAAAGATGTATATCCCATCTTGGGTCTGTGTCATAGGTGAATTCTTGGTTATCATTAGAAATCCTCTTTAATACTGAAATCAAGACTTTCTCTGTATGTGTATGAGTAACCTTGAGAGAAAGGAAGAAGAGTGCAGCCTAGACAACGGTCAGATAAGCAAAATCTGAGTGCAAAGTGGAAATGTAATTTGAGTAAGCATCTCAGAGTTGGCCTTCACAAGTTCTCTGGAATGTAAAAGGAGAAAGGCTTTTGCAAGGTTCTATTACTCTTAACATTGTAATACGAATGATACTAATATTCATAATTTTTGAGTTTTGGTCTACTCTACCTCAAAGGACTGGTGATATGTGAAAAATATAATATTTTTCGCTCTATAAGACGCACCTAGCTTTAGAGGAGGAAAACAAGAAAATAAAAAATCTGCCTCTGCCTCCAAGCGCCAGCTTGTGGCTCATCAGGGCTCTGCCTCATTGCCTCCATCACTGGTCAGCTGAACTATAGCTGGATCCTGGCCTCTTGTAGCCCCCTGATCACCGGGCTGGCCAACTGGAAATAGCGCCATTGCTGTGTCTGCTGCCTCCTCTGGGGAATGCTGGAGCCACCAGTGTTTCCCAGCTATTGCCGCTCACCGGCAGTGGTGAATGGCTGTGGCAATCCCAGACGCCTGGAACAGCTGTTCTGTGATATTCCAGGAGGCTGATTCAACTGGTGGCGGTGGCAACGACAGATGGCAGCGGTGATCCCCGCCGCCTGGAACAACTGATTGGCGGTGTTCTGAGAGGCCAATTGAACCTCCAATAGGTGGTGGCGGTGGCAACAGGCCGTTCACTGCTGCTGGCTGTCGCCACACTAACCCCCTCTCCCCCCCCCACTGTGGCCCGTCTGTGATGCAATCTTTGCTCCGTAAGGCACACAGACATTTCCACTTACTTTTTTGGGCGGGGGGAAAGTGCGTCGTATGGAGCAAAAAATAATGTATATCTGTTCAGAAGTTTATGCATCCTTGTGATTTGGTTTAAAATAAAGTTACTGTTTGTGCAGTAGAGAAAATACACATATATTTTCAGATGCCTCTAGCAACTAGGACTGGGTAGTTTTTATTATAATCTAATTAAAAGAAAATATGCAGGTAGTATTTGCTTAATTACAGTAATTGGGACTGGAATTTTGTTTTAACTGATGCAGTTGTAAAGTGATATATCATGCTTAGCAATGGCAATCATAGCCATTCCTGTTGTCAGCAGTTAAGTGAGGGTTGTTCGTCGCTAAGTGGGAACCTCATGTGACCATAATTTGTGACTCCTGCTGCCTTCCCAAAAGCAAAGTTAATGGAAAAGCTGACAGAAAGTTACAAATCCTAGGGAGTGACAAGAAGGCTTATTGGTAGATGAGTACTATAGAATGAGGTGCCGGATTGAGGGATTGGTGAGTGTATTTGAGGAGGATTACTGCTGTAGCAAGGGTGCTACAAAATGAGTTTGTGCTATGGAGAAAGATCTTTGGGATATCATTCTCTATAGTGGGGCTCCTTGGGAGAAAAAATAGGAATAACTTACAACCTTCTTTGCCAATTTCCTGACTGACTTTGCTTATGGGAAGTTGGCAGGAAGGTCACAAATGGTGATGACATGGGATATTGTGACCGTTCTAAGTATAAACTGGTTGCCAAGTGCCTGGATCATGATCACGTGACTTTGGGGGCACAGCAACAGTTAGAACGTGGAGAACCAGTAATAGATACCACTTATTCAGCACAATCACAACTTTGAATGGTCATGAATGAGAAGTTATTAACTGAGGACTACTTGTATATATCAAGTATATACAACATTATTAACTGTAGCTTCAAGATTAATAAGATTAATAATCATGATATTAAAAAAATAAAGAGTCCTAGAAAGTAACATTGTAAATAATAATTTGAACATATTTTGACACTACTATTGAAAGGTTTTCTTCTTGTCATTTTGGCAAAAAGAAGGACATACACATTGCACACCATCCCATCCCAAAATCTAATTTAAATGTGGACACAAAAATAATCTATTGCTGCAAATCAGATACAGATTTATCCTTCCAAGTTTGTATGACCATTATATGAATCAACACCCTAAAAATCCACATTTCTGCATATTTTAATATATATCAAATATTAGCAATAGAGCTATCCTTAACACAAGAAAAATTGATTAAAAGCCTTTTCTGCCCTATTTATTTCAATCCTAAATTGGCAGTTGGCAGTCAGCCAATTACTGTTTCTATGTAGATGTCCATTTTTAGGCAATTACACCAGCTTATATATAAGATTGTATCTGGTTTGTGTTATGTTAAGAAATTTTCTTTGTATCAATCTCATTTTAAATCAAGAGAAGTAATTAGTAAAGTGATTTCACCACACGTTTATCAGAAAATTAACCTCATTATTCCACAAATATTATAATTACTATCAGATTCATGCCAAAGCAGGTGCTAGGCTGCAGGGAGACTCCTGACCTGGCGCTCCTGCATTCCGAAGCTTCCTTTCCATCCTGCACTTCTTCCACTAGCCAAGATCCTATCGGGGCTAATAGCAAGCAAGCTTGATTCAAAGGCTTTGGCTCTTGAGATCATTGCGCTGCCACCCAAAAATGCTATTACTGCGATCTCTGCCACCTGCAACCGCCCGAGAAGGGGCAGGTAAAGCAGGAGCTGCAGAGATCGCGGTACCAGCTTTTTGGGTGGCAACACAGTGATCTCAGGAGCCAAAGCCTTTGAATCAAGCTTGATTGTAGCCCATTCCAGGTTTTTAACTTCCCAATCTAGCGTTCCGAGAAAAGTCTTCGTAGAGAGGAGATTGTTCTTCTTCCCTTCCTCCCACTCCCACCCCTCAATCTCTCTGGATTCTCAGGAGCCAAAGCCTTTGAATCAAGCTTGATTGTACCCCATTTCAAGTTTTTAACTTCCCAATCTAGCTGAGAAATTTACCATCTCTGAGGCACCTTTCGTTTGCAGGAGGAGGAGGAGGAGGGCAGCTTAAAGCAGCGCCTCCTTAAACCAAAGCTTCTTGAGTAACTGGGAAAGAAGGCCGTGCTTTTTGGGCAGCAGTTTTCAGCAGGTTCCAAGTGCGGCTTTCTTTCCCAGTTACTCAGAGTCTTTGGTATACTCCTCCCTTCTTCTCCTCCTGCAAGTGAAAGGTCCCTCATAGATTTGGTGCGCAGCTCAGGGGAAACAATGGCCACAATGACTTCACTCCCCAGCAATGTGAGGCGTCACTGCCACCGCCACCACCACCTAAGCCCTCCTGGGAGCCGAACCAAGCTGGAGCCCCAAAAGCAAAACTACTCTCCTTTCCAGTCATCACAATCTCTGCAGTGCCCACTTCACCTGTCCCTTTTCCAGATGACCAGGCTGCTAAATTCAGAGTATAAGACGCACTCAGATTTTCACCCTCTTTTTGGAGTAAAAAGGTGTGTCTTATACTCCGAAAAATATGGTAAACCAGAATTATCCAATATTGTTAAGATTTTCATAAATAAATGAGTCATTATTTTACATATATACCTATAAACCAGTGGTGAAATTCATTTTTTTCCCCAGCGGTTCTGTGGGTGTGGCTTGGTGGGTGTGGCTTGGTGGTGGAGGGTCATGTGACTGAGTGTCTGGCCAACTTTTAACTTTTAAAAGCATTTTTAAACTTGGTTCTTGGTAATTAAAAATGCTTTTAAATTTTTTAAAAAATGTTTTGACGATTAGCTGTGCGACAATCAGCTGTGCCATGCCATCGCCAGAACTTTTTTTTTTTTAAACTTTT